TAATAAAGATGAGGTTGTATAGAGTATATGCATACCAAACATGTCACACCTAATAATTGCATGCACCCGCTATTGCCCATAGACAACATTTGAGGCCTTTACAGCTCATTTTAGAGTCAACCATAATTAATGGCTCTATAATTCTCTCATTCTGACGTGTGGTGATGCCCAATATATGTTATGCAATTGACGTTTATGCATCTGCGCCCTAGGTGTGCGTATTTTTGTGTATGTATTAGGGCATTCGTGGGGTCTGTTTAAATTATTTATTTATTTTTTATAAGCCCCTATTTGATAGTATTATGAAGTGAAGGAATTTGGTTCTCTTTATGGAGACGTGACGGGTCTACTAGACCTATTTTCACAGCACTGTCCCTGAGCTGATTGATGGCCTGATCAGCTCTTACACCAGCTGAAAACCCAGAATCGCTTCAAGCAGAACACTTCTGGGTTCACGGTATTAAGGATAGCTCAGGTCTGTGATCTCTCTCCTCTGTAGATACAATGTGATAGGGTTCAGGCCTGTAGGTTGGGTGGGTGGCAGGATATTTGTTTTTTTAAACCAAGTACATAAGGATGAGCATGTAATGTATCATAAAGTAGAACTTGCCACAGGTAAGCTAATCCTACAAACAGCGTGGGACAGGTCAGTTGTGAATGATATAGCACTGACAGTAGGTATTTTGCAGCTGTTCTTTAGCCTGGGTCTCATCCACTATACCATACTGTGGCTGGGAGGCAGCTGTCATATTAATGCAGGTGCGAACTATCAGAAGGCAGATCTTCCTGTGGTTAGACCCTCCCCTTGAAGACAGTCAATGTAATCAGAAGCAGGATGTGCCTCTAATGTGAAATCACATAAGGCTCCTGTGAGGCTGGAAGAACAGTGTAAGGGGGTGCTTTGCCACTTTTAATTGCAAATTTGTATGTAAATCTTTTTAGTATTGTTCTAGGTATGCAGATTCTAAACTTAAGACATTCTCTTGCATCTGTGAACAATAAATAGCAATTTTTTGGGAAATGGGCAGCAACGTTTGCTTGTTTTGGGAATTGTGGCTGTAAATGCTTCTGTGTAATTTTTGTTTTACCTTTTTTCTAAAGGAAAAAGAAGAGCAAAAGCAGGAGTCGCAGTCGGGAGCCGAAACGCAGCCGAAGTAAGACTCGTAAGCATAGTAAGGAGCGCGAGAAAAAAAGAAGCAAAAGCCGAGAGAAGAAACGTAGCCGCAGTAAGGAACGACGAAGGAGCCGTTCGAGAAGTAGAGATCGCAGGTTCAGAGGACGATACAGAAGCCCATAGTACGTTGAGCCTTTTTTTTTTTCTAAACCGTTTTCAGTTGCATTTCGCAACATCAGGCAAAGTGGTTTAATGCAAAACAGAGGTGTGCTGTACAGCCTTAGAAATATTTATTTTACCAGTGGACTACACATTTTGCTTTTTCAAGACTATCCATGTGATTAAAGTAGGCAAAAGGTTTTATATTACATGTAGTATTTAGAGCACTTGCGTATCTTTTGTAGATGCCTTGATGAATAAATAATATGGAATGTTGAGTGACTTCAAATGTCAACCTAAATTAAGTTTTCAGTTGGAGTCATTTAGTATTTGTCAATCCAAAATTAGCTTGTTTAAATTTCGCAAAATAGTGTTTGTTGCAGAAAAATAAAGTGTCTTATTTATTTTTTCCCCCTCCACAAAGCTCTGGACCCAAATTTGGAGGTCCCATGCGTGGAAAGATGGTACCACATGGTGTGAAACTAAGGTTTGTAATTGTTTTTATTTCAGTGCTCATACCGTCATTTGAGTGCACGAGTGCATATTCTTATTACACTGTCTTGAATTGTAGGCGCAGGTCAAAGAGCAAGAGTCCTCAAAAGAGAGAGAAAAGCCCTGTAAGGTATGTGTGCTCACCTTTTTCAGTTTAAACTTGTCCGACGGTTTGGTTGCTTTGTAGTATTGCACTTTGCACGCTCTTTTCCTTTTTAAGGCATTGTTTATTCACTAAAGAAAAATAATTGTCAACTTATTTTTTATTTTAGAGAACCAATTGATAACCTTACACCAGAAGAAAGAGATGCACGTACTGTATTTTGCATGCAGTTGGCAGCCAGAATTAGGCCAAGGGATCTTGAAGAGTTTTTCTCCACTGTGGGAAAGGTAGGTTGGCTAATTCTTTATAATCTGAACACTGTTTTGTACTAAACTGTATTGACTTAGGATATTGCTTTAGTACTGTGTGTATTTAGCAATACGTTTACACTTAATAAATAAAAACCTATTTCTTCTCCCCATTAGGTCCGTGATGTCCGAATGATTTCAGATAGGAATTCCAGGCGTTCTAAGGGCATTGCTTATGTGGAGTTTGTTGATGTCAGTTCAGTACCTTTAGCCATTGGCTTAACTGGACAGAGAGTCTTGGGTGTTCCTATTATAGTACAAGCCTCTCAGGTAAGTTCCTCTCTAAAAAAAAATACAAAACGTAATGTTCTGATAATCAGAAGATAGTACTTTCTAGAGTGATCCTACTATTTTTATTGTATGAGCATGTAAGTGCCTGCAACTGCTTTTAGTTTTCAGATCCAATTCTTTTTTCTGTTTGATTCCAAGGCTTAGGCTGTTCACAAGACATTGAGTTCTTTGCAAATCAGATTAGGCTCTGCCCGTAGGGCTGCTGGCATGTGACAGTTGTTGACTGTCATGGTGCAGGGCTTAATTCTGACTTGGAGAGAAGGGATATATCTCAAAATATATTCCTCAATAGCCACAAAGGATATGTGTTTATACAGTGCCTTTGTAAATTTAGCACCGGGTTCCACATAAACTAAGCAGATCTGTGGAAGGGACCCAGCAGGCCCACCCACTACAGGCTGCCTGCACTAAACTGCAGGAAGGGGAGGGTGGATCCAAGACCAGTCACCCTGTGCAAGGAGAGAGCAGCGGTGACTGGCTTTATTATAGCAAGCTACTGCACTAAGGCAAAGTTTCACACTAGATTACTGCATTGGAAAAAATATACAGAGCACACATGGTTATAAGTACAAATGTGCATTTGTCTTGTGTATTTGGGAAATATGTTCTTATCACAGCATTCAGCTTTTTTTCCTTCACCTCCAAACTGGATTGAATCGCACCTGAAGTTCAGTTTTGACAGCAAAAGTTGTGACTAGTTCAAACATTTGCTTGCCTTTCTTTTACAGGCAGAAAAGAACAGAGCTGCTGCTATGGCCAACAATCTACAGAAAGGCACTGCAGGACCAATGAGGTTGTATGTTGGATCTCTACACTTTAACATTACAGAAGACATGCTTCGTGGAATATTTGAACCGTTTGGTAGGGTAAGTGTATGCATCATTCACTCTCTATAGTACTATCATGTTTTATTTGACATGACATTCACTGGTTGTTCTTTCCATTAGATCGAAAGCATCCAGCTTATGATGGACAGCGAGACTGGCCGTTCCAAGGGATATGGATTTATTACTGTAAGTTTCCAGTTTGTTACAACTAATAAGGCAATCAATTGTTGAATTGATTAGTAACGTGTACTGTGTTTTGCAGTTCTCAGATTCCGAATGTGCCAAAAAAGCTCTAGAACAGTTAAATGGCTTTGAGCTTGCTGGACGTCCTATGAAGGTTGGTCATGTGACGGAGCGCACTGATGCTTCAAACGCCAGTTCATTTTTGGATAGCGATGAGCTTGAGAGGACAGGAATAGACCTGGGAACTACTGGTAGACTTCAGCTTATGGCAAGGCTGGCTGAAGGTATAAAAATTGAATCTGTTTTTTTTTGTTAGGATGGCAAAGTTGTTGGACTTATGTGGTTTTTGTACAGCACACAATTCTATTAGTAAATGTGGGAATATGGGTCTGTACATCATGTGTTAATCTGTTTTTGAATCTCTTCTGTGGCAGGTACGGGTCTTCAGATTCCCCCAGCTGCTCAGCAAGCTTTACAGATGAGTGGGTCATTAGCTTTTGGAGCTGTAGCAGGTAAGCACAGAAACCCCCTTGTAGCATGCTGCTGTATTTTTAATGATGCATGTATTTAGCTGACCATTCAGATCTCAATGCGTCCTTTCTTTCTACAGATCTCCAGACAAGAATTACACAACAAAGTGAAGGTTTGTAGCTTATTTTCATTTTGTTTGGTTATTTAGCACATTTAGTATTTCCCTCTAGAACAGAGGTGTCAAACTCAAATACACAGTGGGCCAAAATTTTAAAAATGCTCAAAGTCGAGGGCCAGGCTGGTTCACAGTATAATACCGTGGTCTATACAGTATATCACACAGTATAATACAGCGGCATATACAGTATATCACACGGTATAACAAAGCCTGTACTTTTAATAAAAAGCATGATACATAATTACATTTTATTTACTTTCCCTTTAAGAAATAGTCTAAATATTTAAATAAAAGCCAAAAACGGATATTAAATAGTACAGAGCATTTACAACAAATGAATTTACTTGCAAAAAAGTTTTTCCCATAACTTAAGTGTATAAAAATGAAGTGGGCTTAATGACCTCTTGTGTATATGTGTGCTATTGTTATCCGCTTACTGCGTTTCAGCAATTGAAAAAAGTTAAGTTGTCCTTCCCACCTATCCTCCCTTAAATGTATTACTCAAAAACTACAGGTAGAATGTAATGTGCAAAAAGAAAAACTATAGTAATATATTAGAAATTGTGTATTTTTTTTTATTAGTGTTTGAGACTAGGATTTGTCCTAAATTTTAAATGTTAAGGTTTTCCTGTTACACAATCGGGATGAATTTAAATTCTGCCCTTTAGTCTCTTCTGCCAGCTATTGTATTCTGATAGCCAGCAGTTGCTGCTGTCAGAATACCTGACCAGTAACTGCAGCGGATTGGGCAGCAATTTCCCATCTGGCTTTTTAGATTTTTCAATCCAGGTTTGTCTAGCTGGGTGGCACGGACAGGGCCATCCATGGTTACTCAGGTGATTCACAGGATTGGAATTTTAAGTGTATGTCTGCCTGACAGCCAACCAGTATGTACGTTTTGCGTCCCAAATAAAGCTGCAAGGAGGCCAGGAACAGCATAGTGATTGGATTATTTGAATAGATTCAATTTTTCATTATTTGGCTGCGGCTTTTTCCAGACACGTTAGACTGGATCGTGAGCAGTCACTGATCCGAGAAAGCAGATTCTGTACCTGGGTCTCTGCAGGTATTCCTACAGCTTCAAAACTTGCCTGAGACAGAGAAAATGTAAAGAAGTTGGAGAGGTTGAGTCACCATAAGAGTTCCATGTGTACTCTCGTCTCTTACCTCCTGCTCTATCCTACCAGTAATAGGAAGGACTGCACAGAGCTGTACATGGTTTAATTAGCTGTTTAGACCCCCTTGCTAGGATTGAGTTTGTGGTGCTGCAGGTATAGGAGTATTGGGGTGAAGTAAGATTAAAGAGCATATGCAAATATAACTGATCATGTAGGAGTAGGTAGTGTTGGGCCAAGAGAATTATAGGGATATCGCTCCAACATCTGTTAAGCACTCTGGTGCAGCATGCGACATTGAGTGAAAACCCTGCTTGTCAATGAACCAGTAGCAGTATGCAAAGTCTTCAAGAACATGGCTGTTAAATAACATCCTATAAACAGTTTTGATTTTGGAGAAACACAAAAAAAGATCATTATTTGTAATTCTGTGCATGTACGCCGGTGTCTGTAGTTCACACAAAAATAAGAACAATGATTAATCATCTTCGTTTTTGTGCACCAAATAAATTTACTGCTGTGTGTTTTCCAGGCAAATGCTAGGAACTGCATAAAAGCAGTGGTCCGTGATGTCCACGATTCTTTGTCACATGGATTTCTGCTGGAAGATGTGTGTACTTGTTTCTGTAACATTCGGCCATAACGTACATTTGGTGCATCATTTAAATGAACCATGGTGCTCATTTTAGTGTTGAACTATATGCACTAGTCTGCAGGCACGTGTAAATAGCGGTCAGTGCTTTGCAGTATCTGGAACAATTCGTTATCTATTTCAAATTAGACTAAAGGCAAGTTAAAGGTTAAATAACCATAAATCAAAGCATTTTAATGTGCAACTGTAATGAAATTTTAGCCTTTCATTGAGAACCTGTTAAAGCAGATCTTTATTTCTTAGAGTATTATTATGTAGGAGAGACTGTTGTTGGCCCAACGGACCCTCATATCCTGCATACTGGACGGTCCATTCATTTTCTCAAAACATACCGGGGGAGTCTATCAAAACTTGAGCAGTTGCCCATGGCAACCAACCAGCTTCTCTTTCATTTTCAAAGAGAACTATGGGGGTAACCTTTTTATCCCATAGTTCTCTTAAGGGTCACGGGAGAACATATACTAACTTCCTCCTGTGACCCAAAGCTCCAGTATAAAGCTCGCTATATACCAAGAGCGCCGCAGCCGGGACAGATCCTGACAATACTGTAGAGATCCACCCAGCTGAATGAGTGACAGCTGGCTTGGCCTATCTAGAGGCAACTGCCTGCCCATCCCTCGTCGGTTCCTCCAGTCAGCGCTGGGGTGGGGGGTGACGGTATGTGTTCACTTCCCGATCTATAGAGCCAACGGGTGACCGTTTCAATGTCGCACGTTGGCTCTAACTAGGAGGATGAGTGTAAATCACTCGCCTCGTGGTTCTCTAACTGAACAAACTGAAGACAGAAGCTTATTGGCTACTATGGGCAACTGCTCCAGATTCTGTCTGCTCCAGTTTTGATAAATTCCCTTCACTGTTCTGGTATTTGTTTTTCCTGTTAGTCTTGCCAGTGCCATGTAATGGTTTGTGTTTGAGTAGCTGTGCATACTTGCAAGCAATTAAACTCCCAATATAAATTTGTCCCCGTCATGGACCACTCTGGCCACAAACATTCCTGCCACTTGAAACTGAATTCCCTTCAACTTTATTGCTGAAGCTGCTGGCAAGTATGAGTTATGTGTGCGCTCGATATTGTATTTTCGTAATCCTTTTAGTTTAAGGTAGATAACGTTTTAATTTTATTTTACATAGCTCTTGCTGCAGCCGCTTCTGCTGCGGCCTCTGCTGCCATCTCATTGAGCGCATCCACATTACCTGTTCCAGCAGCGACTCAGCCACTCGCTACACAGTGCTTCCAGTTGTCAAACATGTTCAATCCTCAGACGTGAGTACATTCTACCTTCTGTGTTATCACTACCTCTGTACATTTAGTTAGGACTTTATTAATTTCACCCTTACTGTATTTATCGCAACTTTTTCTGCTTGTCTATTACCTCCCTATTAGGACCTGCTGTCGCATGCCACCCATTCATGTTCCTGGCATGTCTGTTATGTTCATTTTACTGACTTAGATTATCAAATGGGAGTTGGCGGCTATCCTAAAGCCTGTAAACTACTGAGGCTTGCAGGCTTCATGCTTTTCTTTTTGCTCAATTTATAAAAACTGAAGCTTCTGTCCTCAGTGGCCTATTTGCTGCATATGAGAAATGAAGCCTTTGTAGTAGCTATGAGCAATTTGTTTCACATGTTTTGTAGATCAGCCCCAATGTGCTTGCTAAAATGCCTGTTCAGTCTTCATGAGACCTGTCATTTTCTCCTGCCTTTAAGATTGTTCGAACTGAAATGTATATATTTTTTTAATTATCAACCACCAGGGAAGATGAACAAGGCTGGGACCAAGAGATAAAAGATGACGTCATTGAAGAATGCAACAAACATGGAGGAGTTGTGCACATTTATGTAGACAAGAATTCGCCACAGGTATGCCATTTATATGAATAGCCATGTTAGCCTGTGGGCATAGGTTTGTATTTTCAGGTGGTGTAGTTTTTTTTGTTATTTTGGTATTATAGTTTTTCTTGGGGACCTTGAACTCAGGAGGTTAATCTTAAAAATGCATTCAGGTAACTTGACTAGTAACAAAACTGTACTTTTGTACCAGTCGGCTGTAGATTCTCAAATCTCTGAATTGTTGCCTACACTGTCCTTCTGGAGGGTGACTACTTTTTGTTCCCCATGGTCCCTGTGTGTGTTGTAAAGTAGTTACCGCTCCAAGCTCACTCCTGTGATGCACTACAATCTCAATATAAATTAGAAAACTAAATGTGAGATTGTAGTCCATCCTGGGAGTGAGCTTGGAGCGGTGACTACATTACAACACACACAGGGACCACGGGGAAGAAAAGTAGCCACCCTCCAGAAGGAAGGACAGTGTCGGCAACAATGCAGAGATGATTTGAGGATCTGCAGCCGAGTAATACACAAATAAGTTACATGTGCTGTGTTGTAGAATAGTCACTGCTCCAAGCTCACTACCGTGATGTACTACAATCTCACGTTTAGTTTACTAATGATTGTAGTCACACACAGGAGCCAGCTATACACTCTAAGGGCATTTTCCATCCAGTTTCAATGTACCCTCCGCTAGTCACTGAAAGTTAAATTACTACACTTTCCTACATACTCTTAGGACAGGGATAGCCAAACTCCGGCCCTCCAGCTGTGGTGGAACAACAAATTCCAGGAGGCATTAAAAGATTCTCACAGCCACAGAGATGACTCCCGCAGAGATGCATCAGGGGATTTGTAGTTTCCCCACAGCTGGAGGGCCGGAGGTTGGCTACCACTGCTCTAAGGCCTTCTCCTGCTTGGTATGAGTAAATCTCTCCTTTTTTTTTTTTTTTTTTTTTTAGTTTTTTTTTTTGGGGTTTTAATAT